AACTCCCCCCCAATCCCACCAAAACCCAAAACAAAAAAAATGCTTTAACTGAAGGACATCTAATTTCCTAAGTCTGTTTTTAATTTTGCTATATACATGTTTACACTAACTCTTTATTGATTTTTTTTCTTCTTTGCTGTTGTGTTAGTGTACACAGTGTTCCAGATTGCTTTTCTGGAAACTGCTAATGTGGTTCCTGGCTTGGTTTTGTCCCATTTCTTAATTAGATGGAACAACACACTACTTGTAATTTAGTTGCATACATAAATGGAAGAAATGGCGGTGTTCTTATAGGAAAACCACTGTGCTGACAACAAACGTAGGTAACATGGTAGAAGGGTATCATATTTCCTTTCTGAAATTTGTATTTCAATTCTTATCTGAACCTCAGAAAAATAAGTAGGCTTATTTTGTCATTTATTTATTTATTTATTTATTTATTAAATAAACATTTATCGAGTTCCCCACTCTGTTTGGCATCTATGTGAATTGCTTAGAATATGCAGATTAGATATCATTTCTATCCTTGAAGAGATCATGACCTTTTGGGTGAGAGACAAATAAGCAGATTCCTAGTATCATATAAGAACTATGATTTTCGTGTACACAGAGAGCTTTGAGGGCACGGAGGAAGGACTCCAAACTTACACAGGACCTGCAGAACAGGCCTGAAAGGGATTCTGAAGGACGGTAGGCATTGACCAAGAAAAGAAGAGAAGAGGAAGCTATTTGGAGGTGAGGGGGATAGCATTAGGAAGTGAAGAGGCGAGAATGCATGGTCACACGGAGAGATTGTTTCTCCTTGTGTGTTACTGGGCTTAGGACTGGAGCAGCGCAACAGTAGGTGATGAGAAACAAAGTTGGTGAGATCACAACTTTCATTTATTGAGTGGTTTTTACATACAAAGTACTTTACATGTGTTGATATTTAATTGTCTGTAATGAATAGACTTTATTTTTTAGAGCCATTTTAGGTTCACAGAAAAACCTAGTAGAAAGTACAGAGAGTTCCTATATATGTTCTGTCCCTGCCCACCCTCCACCTGACACAACCTCCCCAACTATTAACATTCCCCACCAGAGGGGTGTGTTGGTTATAATCAGTGAACCTGCACTGACACATCGTTGTCACTCAGAGTCCATAGTTTACATTAGGGTTCACTCTTGGTGTCATACATTTCATGGGTTTTGACAAATGTATAATGACATGTATCCACCATTGCAGCCTCGTACAGAATGGTTTCACTGCCCTGAAAACCCTCTGTGCTCTGCTTTTCATTCCTGCCTCCCCTTACCCTTGGCAACCACTAATCTTTTTTATTGCCTCCATAGTTTTGCCTTTTCCAGAATGTCATGTAGTTGGAATCATATGGTATGTAGCCTTTTCAGAAGGCTCTTTCACTTAGTAATTAATAGGCATTTAAGGATCTTCCATGTCTTTTCATGGCTTGACAGCTCATTTCTTTTTAGCATTGACTAATATCCCATCGTCTGGATGTGCCACAGTTCATTTATCCATTCACCTACTGAAGATCTTGGTTGCTTCCAAGTTTTGGAAATTATAATTAAAGCTGCTGTAAACATCTGTGTACAAGTTTTTGTGTGGGCTAGTTTTCAGCTCCTTCAGATAAATACTAAAGAGTGCAATTACTGGATCCCATGGTGAGAGTGTGTTTAGTTTTGTAAGAAACTGCCAAACTACCTTCCAAAGTGGCTGCTCCATTCTGCATCCCTACCAGCAATAGACGAGGGTTCCTGTTGCTCCACGTTCTTGCCAGCATTTGGTGCTGTTAGTCTTCTGGATTTTGGCCGCCACTCTGGTAGGTGTGTAGTAATACTTCACTGTTGCTTTAATTTGCATTTCCCTGATGACATATGGCCTGGAGCACCTTTTCAGATACATACTTGCCGTCTGTGTATCTCCTTTGGACAGGTGTCCGTTCAGGTCTTTCACCCATTTTAAAAATCAGGTTGTTTGTTTTCTCCCTGTGCCAGAAACATGAGGAGATTTTTCTCAGATAATCACTGTGAGAACCTGGAGGTAAAACTAACAAAAGCATGGGTACCCACTATGACTGGGCCCCCCCGGGAGTTTTCTGCTCTGAGACTTTCCACACTGAACTTCCAGCAGTTCACCAATTACAGGTTTTCCTACCTGGGCCCTGGTTTCCTCAGAGTTTTCTGCTTCTGGGTCGTGAATGTCTGTATACATCTGTCTCTCCGAATTTTGGGGGAAATGCTTTGTGACTCCCTTCTCTGATGACTCTAAGGAGGACTGTTGATTTTTCAGTCCGTTCTGCTTTTGACTTATTGTTGGGATTCAGTGGCAACTTCCAAGCTCCTTACATGCTGGTTTCTCTTTTTTATTGATGAATTAGCATGAACAGGAAGTTCACTTATTTTTTCAAACTGGAAGTCCTTTGAGAGTTAAAGGGGATGCTGTTAATAATTATCCCAGCCCTGGCTGGTGTGGCTCAGTTGGTTTGGCATCATCCTGCTCACTGAAAGCTCTCCCGTTCAATTCTCGGTCAGAGCACATGCCCAGGTTTCAGGCTTGATCCCCAGTAGGGGGAGTGCAAGCTGCAGCTAATCGATGTTTGGCTCTCAGATCAGTGTTTCTCTCTCTCTCTTTCTCTCCCTTTCCCTTCCTCTCTCTCTAAAAAAAATCAATTAAAAAATCATAATTATTCTAGGCATCAAATGTAAACTGTGACGAATGGTTCCACTATTGGTGTGGTTACCCTGACGAGGAAACTGATGTCTTGCAGCTAATAAGAGGCACAGGTGGGACTTGAATCCAAGCAGTCTGTCCCTTGGGTCAGTGCTCTTGGCCTCTAGGCATATAAGAATCAGATTTTTTATATGCCTTGGGTGTCTTTCCAAGGTCTTCATCAGCACTCATCATTGTAGCTGTTCTTTCCTGAGGAGAAACATAATTGAAACAATATCACACATTATTTATTGGCTCTTAATTTATTATTTATATTTTCCTTTTAGTTGGAGGGCAAGGCATTTTATGAAATTACTCTTTAGTTTACTTACTACTGGAAATTGTTCTCCGTCCCAGAATTCTTGACTTTAAAGAGACATCTAACAAACTTGCCAAAGAACACAGCTAATCATTTGTAGAATCTGCGAAGAATTGGAAGGCAGAAAAATATAGTGATTGGAAATGGGATTAGGTTGCCTGGATTTCACGCCCTATAGCCTGTGAGGCTTTACACAGTGTACTCCTTCCTCTCCAAGTCTCACTTTCCTCATCTGTGAAATTGAGGAAATGATAGTACCCACAGCAATGAGTCATTTCAAATCCTAGATGAGGTGGGCTCATAATCAGGGCTCAATAATTGGTCTCTGTTACTATTTTTACCTGAGTCTTCATATTTCCAGTGAAGTGTTTGCAAAATAGGCTGCCTTGGAAACTCTCTGGCCATGGCTTTGAGATCTGTCGGTGTGGGTCTGGAGTCTGGTAGCAGGGCTTCATTGATAATTTTAAGCTGCCTATTTGTATAACTAAACGTGAAAAAGACAGTGATCTCCTTGACCACATCTGGCACACCACTAAACATAGACTCCTCTGCTTTCTTAGAAATAGGGGAGCAGTAAAGAAGATACTTTTAAAATTCAACTTTTATTTTTATTAATGTTCTAAATGTACATAGCTTTAAAAAATCAGTCCCAAAGGCTTTGAATCAAAACTATCAGTCCCTTCCCCATTCCTGCCAACTCTTGATTGCTTATTTCCAGAGGTAACCACTTTCAACCCTTTTAGCTTTTTTTGGTATTTACCTCCATATTTTTATGTAATCTCTTTATACTACTATTTCTTGATTTTTATTTTAGATGTTCTGTTTTGACTTTCTGCTGTAGAGAAGATTCATCTGTTCTATGTCCGTCTCCTATACCCACATATACTTACACATACATACATACACTTACCCTTCACGTTCAACTAATGTAATTATACCATCGTATTTTGCTAAGTGAATATTTATGATTCTGAAAATGTTATTCACAGCTGAGCCATGTGGTAAATTATGATTGCATTTCCATGATGCTGTCTTCTTTGAGATTGATAGTTGACTCTCTGTTTGCATATTCTTCTATACGTCTATCACTAATGCATCCCCAACCTCACCTTTGGAAGTCAGAATCTCTTAATGGCTTCAGAAATATTAGGCATATTCTGTTGATAACATTGTCATGAATGCAGACATGAGTAGCTGGAAAGGAGCAAAGGGAAAGCCAAATAGACACATGCCCAGGAAAGTCTGGGTGACATAGGGAAGGTACTTGTCTGTCAGTCACACCTGGGAATAGGCCATTGGCCAGAGTAGTCGTGGCCACTGCAAGCATGGGAAGATTTGAGATATATAATCTCCTAAACAAAGGAGCTCTCTCTCTTGCCCTTGGTTCGCACTCCTGGCTTGCAGGGCTCTTATGCTCCTGCATTCACCCACATGGCCCACAGCCATGTGGACCCCACACACAATGGACTAATGGACTGTAACTAGTTTAATGCTGTACTGGACGCAGCTCCTGACTGGATCGATAATAAGCCTTGATTTATAACTCACTCTCATCATTGGCTCACGTGTAGCCCATTTGTTTATGTTTTTAAATAATGTCATACATGAAAAATTTCGGCATACATGTTGTATGCAGTACCTTGGAGGAAAATTTAAATATATAATTGCCGTGTATGCATGATACAAAAATAAACTCATGAATTTAAAAGTATTTTGGTGCTACAACTGCTTATTTTTTCTCTGTTAGATAGAAAGTTATAGATGGGTGGTTTCACAGCTCTCCTCTTCATCCCATTGACATTCACCAGACTGGCCTGGGGAAGCAGTGGCTTAGAAAGTAAAGTAAGACAGAGAGGAGCAGGAAAGGGGCCAGGCCTATGAGTGCTTTGTGTTTAGCATGGAGACAACTACGTCTCTACAATTTGTTAGTTTTCTCGAGATGATGCAATGCTGGGTTTGTTTGTGCTGCAGGTCTGAGAACCATCGGAGTCATCACCAAACTGGACCTTATGGATGAGGGAACGGATGCCAGGGATATACTAGAGAACAAGCTGCTGCCTCTTCGCAGGGGTAATGTGCTGTGTCCCCCGCAGGACTTCCTGCGATGATGTGGCGGAGAAGCAACGGGCAGGCCAATGGGAGGCTTGGTTTGAATGCCACCACGGGTGTGAGGCATGGGCTTATGATGAGCTACGCTTTTTATGGAATGGCACAATGTTACTAAGACATAAGAAAAATGATCCAAGGGGAAAACCCTTCCTTAACAGGAATAAGGAAACAAGAAAAGGGGGCTTGGAAGGGAGGGTGTAAATATTCATAGAGTGCATAAATATATACTGTCCTCTTCTAAGTCTGACTCACTCATCCGCTCTATGACAAAACTGCTAAGAAATATACTCTGCTAAAATGCAGAGTTTTTAAGCGTGAAGAGATATTATTGTGTTAATCCTAAAAAATTGTCGTTAGCCAAATCAGCCAGCCTTTGTTAAATACTAACATCGCAAATTGACTTTTGTAAAGGGACCTTACAAAAGTAAGGGCCTTTCTTATTCACCCTCTTTGAGAGTCTTGCGATCCCCCCAAAATAAACAACAAAGAGTGCCACAAATGCCATAGGCGTGTGTTTGGTTTCAGGTTACGTGGGGGTGGTGAACAGAAGCCAGAAGGACATTGATGGAAAGAAGGACATCAAGGCCGCCATGCTGGCGGAGAGGAAATTCTTCCTTTCACACCCGGCGTACAGACACATTGCCGATCGGATGGGGACCCCACACCTGCAGAGGGTCCTTAACCAGGTAAAAATGTGCTTTCCAGCAACAATAACAATTAGGAAATATGAACGTGACTGTTGGAATTCATATTTCTTATTTTTATATTCATTGTTTTCTAACATAAGACATGCAGCTTAAATGATAGGAATTTAAAAAATGAATATAAATATTGAGGAACAGTGAACAGGGGTATACCTTTTAGCACACAGTTTTATATGCAGCCTGTTGAAGGCTTAAGCCAGTGACCCAGCACAGTTAGACTGGGGCCTAGAGGTAGAGGCAAGCCCCTGTCTGGGCTGCAGATGGAGAGGAGGTTCACAGCTGACAGGTGCTTCCGAGCTCCACCAGGGTGGTGAGCCAAGCGGTCCTGAGAATGTCAGGCAGGCCCTGGAACTCTCCACTTCCTTCATTTCCACCACATTGTAACTTAAGGTTTCTTTGGACAAGTTAAGTGATCTGATAATCAATCCATGCCAGGTGTTACTAGGCATCCACATTAGTAACATCAACTGTATTAGAACAGGGTATACCAGATGGCCCCAGCAAGTGCCACTCTCATTGAGCATTGCCTTGGGCAGTAGAGGAGAGTGTCGGAGTGTCCTCTGACCACCTGTCTCCACACTCAGTCTCAGCTGTGTATATAATTTCTCCAGTTTTGAGTGATTAGGAAAACAGTGAAGGCTGAGTTTTGTCTCACGAGCTCATCTTTAACCTGTCGTGTGTGTGTATGATTTTGTTTTGTTTTATTTAGCAACTCACCAACCACATTCGAGACACCCTACCAAACTTCAGGAACAAACTGCAGGCCCAGATGCTCTCCATAGAACATGAAGTCGATGCCTACAAGAACTTCAAGCCCGAGGACCCCACCAGGAAGACCAAAGCCCTGCTGCAGTGAGCCCCTCTCCCTCCCTTGTTCTGCCCCAGAATTTCTTCCCTTTGTTTTTCCCTGTCAGTCTGTTATTGATCTTGCTGTTTTCTAGGCGTAACAGAAGTAGCAAGTCAAGTATAGGAGGCTTTGTATATGTTATACAATGAACCAGGAATCTACATTTTCTTGAAGAATAATTGTTGGTCTTACTCTTTTGTTATAAATTTAACCAGTTGCCCATCCCTGTGCCCAGTTTTATTGTGTTTTTATAATTGGATTCAGTAAACGGGTAACACCAATAGGATAACTCAGCGGGGGTTTTTTTGCCCTTAGAATTAGAAGTGGGCAGAGCTCCTGTTGAAAGAGTCACCTGTATTGTACAATTTCTCTCGGTGTCACTTGTACTTATCTTTTTCTTTCGATCACTTCATGTGATCTGCATGTGTTTTCCAGTGGAATGAGCACTGAGGATTCAATAGAGAAGTGCAGACACATTGAAATTTCTGTATCCTTGTCGATAATGATTTTAGTTAGCCCTTTGAAAACGCAACTGTGAAAACTGCCAAGTACCTTTTTCCTCCCTCATGATCTTCCCATCTTATCCTTGGTTACTAGATTTATCCCCTTGGGGCTTTGGGGTAGGATTGCAGCGTCGTTAGAGAATGACCAGCTCCTTGTGTCTTTTACCCTAACGCCCTCTTTTGGTCCCTTCCAGCCTCCTCTGTCATTTTTCCCAGAACTGTAACTTGCCTCGGGTGCCTTTCAACCAGAAAACACCCTTCCCAGCTTGAATTCCAGGGCATCTGAAGTCCATCTCCAAAGATAAATGCTTGCCACTCTTTTTCTTTTTTTAAAGAATTTTAGAGAGAAGAAGGGAGAGGGAGAGAGAAGCATCAATCTGATTGGCTCTCTCCTGCACTCCCACTCCTCCTATCAGGGATCGAGCCTGCAACCCAGGCATGTGCCCTGACTGGGGATTGAACCGGCAACCCTTTAGTGCATGGGACGACACCCAACCAGATGGCCAGGGCAATGCTTGCCCCCTCTTATGGTCCCTTTCTCCCTCTGCAGTTTTACAATCAAAATACCCTTAATTCGGTTTAAAATGCACGATATAATTCCTTTCTTTGTGGGGAGATTTCTAAATGCTCAAGTTATTTAGGTAGCATTTTATATGCATCACCTTATCCCATTTAAAAAAATTATGAGATCATACAGAGGAAATAAATTTTTCTTGGATTCAACTCTTTCCTAGTTCATTTTTTCCTTTTCTTTCTTGGCTTGGGTTAAGCACCTACAAAAACTCTTCAAGTTACAGGAAAGGAAAACTATTTCTGTGTAGGCCGTAGGTCATCATTTTAACATCCAACCGAAACTATTGTCCTTGTGAAGACTGGGTCTTGCCTCTGTGACTCCATTGGACTCAGATTACAGACTTTCCACAGTTAGCTTCTCCCTGGTAGATGAGTGATTCAGCTCCTTCCTCTCTCCCTCCACCCCTCTCTTCCATTTTCCTTTCCTTCCTCCCTTTCTGCTCGCCTGCCTTCCCGCCTTCCTCTCATCTCTGTGTGTTCCACCTGGCGTCTGGATCTGGGGATTCAACAATGGATAAGATTTTTGGCCTCAAGAAGAGGCCACAGTAGAGCAGAGGAAACAAACATTTAGGAAACTAATCTGATAAATGCAGTGTCTCTGGTAAGTATAAAATGTTAAGGGAGCCCAGTGAGGAAGCAGAAGCAGTGACATGGAGCAAGGGTGTGAGTTCACAGAGCAAGTGAACTTGAATGAGACCTCGAGGTAAGGGAGGAGTCTGTCAGGTGGGAGGAGGGCAAGGGTATCGGGGACTTGGGTGTCCTTTGTGCTGGCTGCAGTGTCAGGACTGGGAAAGGGGCGCGACGTACATTTTCTAAAATTTCCCATTGTTTCCGAGTGTATGTCATGCATGCATACCCTTCCAGGTGTTAAAAAAAACCAGACCAGCATTAGCATATGCGTGAATATAGCTATAGCCACATCTAATTATATTCTAGATTATCTGGTCTAATAATTTTCAGTTACTTTTCATTTATCCATGATTTTGATAAAAGATGCTGCAAGTTTTAGATGGTTTGCATGATTTTCCTATTAGATTTTGAAACTCTGTCCAAATCAGAGTTTCTAAACCCAGTCATCACCAATGCATGTGGTCATTCTCTCCCTGCAGTATATTTCTTTGTGTGTTTTTTTTACCAACCATCTTAAGGTAATTCCTTCCTTCATTGAATGTATTGGAATACCTCTCACACATCCAGCAGCAGGAGATAAATAAAACTCATGGCCACTGCTCTCAGGAGGGAGACTGGTGGGTGAATGTGGTGCTGAACTCTGCCAAGGGCTGTGCTGAAAACATGCTGAGGAAGCAGAGGAGGGCCTGGGTGCCAATGAGGGGAGGGGATGGATAGGGCCACGGGTAACAGGACATTTCCTGGAAAAATGAATCCTTAAATTGAGTCTTGAAGGATAGAAATTAGACCACTAAAGGTGCAAGGGGCCGAGAGAACTGTAGTCTGTGCAGAAAGAAAAAGCACAGAGGAGCGATACCTATGGGTGCTGCCTCTGTGTGTCTGGCATGGAAGGTGTTTGTGAAAGTAGCAAGAGATGGGGCGGCTGGGGCCAGGCCATGGAGCATCTTGGGTGATAGGGTTAAGGAGTTTTTTATTATTAAATTGTGAGGAGCCATTGAGAAGCCAAGCTAGAGCTAGTTGTAGTGTGGGGGCCACACATTTATGTTGTTCTGAGGTCTGTGACCCTGGGGGTGGGGAAGAGAGTTGTTCTCGAAGGGCAGGCGCTCAGCTGGAGCGGTTGGAACACTGGGTGTGATGTCATAGGAGCCGTGGCTTCTTTGTTCTCTGTAAACTTTTATTGCTTAACTTGAATTCAAGTATTTTTAAATGCCATTCTATGACTGCAACAAAATGGACAGAGTGCATTGAATGGCACAGATATTTAGGATACATATTTTATTTTTTTAAAATTTTATTTATTTTTAATTTATCTTTATTGTTGAAGGTATTACAGATGTCCCTCTTTTTCCCCCAATCAATCTCCTCCACCCCTAGAATGCATATTTAATTAAATGTCTAAAATAAATCTTAATAGTGTGTTATTTCAGATCATTGCGTTTTGAGTGCTGAGCAAAGTGCAATGTTAACTCTGCCAGTAGGTGCCACTAAGAACACCAGGAAAAGGTTTCTAGGGGATAAGCACAGAGAATTGAAATTAGAAATGCAGAGCCCTGTCGCTTTAACTGGAATTTATTTCTCTCTCCCAATTACAGGATGGTTCAGCAATTTGCCGTGGACTTTGAGAAGAGAATTGAAGGCTCAGGGGATCAAGTAGATACCCTGGAGCTCTCAGGGGGTGCAAAGATCAATCGCATTTTCCATGAACGCTTTCCTTTTGAGATAGTAAAGGTTTGTACCAAATGTTACTTCTCCCCTGTCCGTTTCACTTCATTTCCATATTCCATGCTACATAACTATCCATAAAATGTTACAGAAGTGGCATGGGACTAAGGTAGTTCTTTGAATGAAAGCTTTCCTAATCAGGTGATGAAATTTAGGAGGGAAATAATTTCTTACTGAGGGTCCTGATTTTAGTCAATGAGATCTGATGACATTTCAAATTATTTCAACAAATACTAGTTGAGTTCCTATGATGTTGATTTGTTGTCTAATTGATTGAAAAATATTTCTCGAGCACCTCCTCTGTGCCAGTGTTCTAGGTGCCAGTGATCGGGACAGAGACACTGTCTGGTGGGGAAAATAGACAAAGTAAGAAGATCTCAAGTGTAATTATGTAACATGATGGGAGAGAGAGAGTGAGTAGGGGAGCCACTTTTGACGGGACGTTCAGGCAAGGTGTCTCCAAGTAGGGGACCTTGAAAACATGACCACAATGGTGCGAAGAGGTCAGCTGTGAGGATCTGGGGGAAGAGGGTCATTCATTATAAGCAGCCGAGGATAAGGCCCTAAATCCAGCACCTGTAGCAGGTAAAGAACAGATGGGGCAGTGTAGGACTGAGGAAGGGAAGGAGATATGAAATGAATTCAGAGGAAGAAAGGGCCCAATTAGGCTGGATTTGTGACTTGGGAAGTAGGGTCCACAGGGCTTGGACTGAGTCTGGGGGATGCAAGAAAGAGAACATTCAAGATGACTCCCAAGGTTTGGGCTTGTACAGCTGAGCACATGTTAGTGCCCATCTGATGAGGGAAACCAAGGCAAAGCCGAGCTTGTGTGTAAGCATGAATCCTGTCATGTCCAGGTACTCAGGAGGCAGCTAAGTGGTCCAGGGACTAGGCTGCTTGCCGCACGTTCAGAGGCGGATGCTTATATCTTGGTGTGGGAGGTAAATGGGTAAACAGAGAGTTTCATTAGAATGTGCTAAGGACAGTGATAAACTTCAGCACAGGGTGCTATGGAAACAGCCCACGGACACAAATCACTGCCCAAAGTGTCAGGGATTTCAAGCTGAGTTTGGAAAAAGGATGAGCAGCTAGTTAAGCAGGAGGAGGTGAGGGAGGGGAAGATTATTCCAGACAGAAAGGGAGGCCCAGTGAAGACTGAGCCGTGGAGCCACAGGGTGGGGGCAGGGAACAAAGCAATTCATTGTTGTATGGCACCAAGTGCGAGGGGAAATGGACAGACAGTGAGACCGGAGAGACCAAATCTCAGGAGTCAGGCTGAACCCTTGATGGCCTCTTGATGCCCTTCCAGGTCTAAGCTCCCTGATACTTTGATCCTACTTCCAAATAAATTTCAGGCACCTAGAACTTCTGGGTTGGAACACAGAAAGGCACAATCTGTCCTGTGTTGGATTGGCAAAATACTATTAATTTCCTCTTATAAAGAGGCCTAGAGCTCAGGTGGTTAACATGGCCAGGGAGAAAAGATAGTCATTGTTCATCTCAGCACAGCTGGACTGCTGTTGCACATCAGGGGACACTCTTATTAATGCATTTGTCTGTGAGTACATTTTCTACATTTAGCAAAAGAATGAAAAATTAGAGATTTCGAATGTGTGGCCAGCTCTATGTCCACGAGGCATCCTTGACGCACGGCACTCCTATCTATTATAACAGAGTTAAAATCTGTAGCACCGAAATAAAACTCCCAGAAATCCCTAATGGTCTCTGTTGCCTTGAACTTTATATAAACAGATGTTCTGACCATCTGGGTTTAAGTTAGGGAAGACATGAGCATCCATTTATTAATAACGAAGTCAAGTCATTCTTATTCTTTAATATTCAATAGCATTATTAGTCAACGGAATTAAGTGTCACAACTGTGGCTCATCTTGCATCTGCAGATGGAGTTCAACGAGAAGGAACTGAGAAGAGAAATAAGCTACGCGATCAAAAACATACATGGCATCAGGCAAGTGATTTACATTTTCCTTGTCTTTTGCTCCGGCTTCTAGAAGAAGATGAATGTTTGTAAGCGGCTAGCGAAGTAGCCTTTCACCATCTGAGCCGAGTAGAACACAGAGGTGGAAGGGAGAGGTAGGAAGTCCTGGTTTGGGTTCAATGGTAATTCCCCGTATCGTCATTCTGGGTCCTTTTCAGTTAGAAAAACAGACACGCGTCTGCACTGACAGCACTGTGCTTGCTGCATCCAGGACCCTCGCTCTCCAGAGCCTTCCTTCTCAGGGAGGGAGGCCCGACGTGCTCAGAAGTCATCGCTACTTACATGGGGACAGGACAGATTGATTTTGGCTGGACTTGTGGAGCAAGATTGATGAAGATTAATGAAGGTGGTAACTTTTGAGTGGAACCTTGTCTGTTTAGAGGACAAGAGTGATTTCAACTGGCAAAGGTGTGCTGTGAGCGTACGTGTGTGTGGGTGTGTGTGCGTGCATGTGTGTGTCTGTTTCTCTTGGGTGTGTGTCTCAGTGTGCCTATGTGTGTGTATGTCTGTGTGTGTGTGTGTGTGTGGATGGGGTAGGGAGCAATGCAGTGAGACATGAGAGGATGGCATGTGTTGGGGCTGGAGGGTGAAAGGGCTTGAAGTGGAAGGACCAGTGTGAACACAGGCAGAGGTGGTGACATGCAGCCTGTGTTCATGGAGCTGGGGGTCATGCATGTTGACTGCAGTTGGGAATGTAGACTGGAGAGTGGAGGCCATGAGGCTGGGAGGGGCCCTTGTGCCTGGACTCACCCTTGTATAAAGTGGTATGAAGTGCATTTACTTTCTTTAAAGGACTATGATAGGGGAAAAAAGAATTTAAAACACACATTTCTTGACTCCACTTCCAGAAGGCTAAACAAAATGTGATGGAGCCTATGTTAAACTGAGGTGCCCTGAATGCAGGCTGATGAAACTTAGGTCCCCGACTTCATGGATTATCCCATCAGAGGGAGGTGCCCCCTGTCTATCGGCTGCGGTATCTCAGCTTCAGCCGAGTGTGCTGCGTGCGTCCGTGTCCACATGCCCAGCACTCGCATGCCTGGTGCCCACGTGCCCTGCGCACACAGGGCCAAGTGGAGACTATTTGGGGAACAGAACCTGAGAGGGCAAAACTTGACCTTGAGTGTGAATGTGGTGGGCGATTTTGACCTTGAGTGTGAATGTGGAGTTAAGACATTTGAATTAGCTAGCATTTAAAAATGGAAACAATTTCTCCAAGTCTCCTATAGTACCGGTACTCAGTGTTTACCTAGTGAAGAGGAGAGAACACCTCGAGCAAACCTGATTTCTCTCACCTCCACAGGCTTCCTACGGCCCTGCTAGCTCTTGTCTTCTCCGTCAAGTCCAGAGCGTATCTGCTATAGAACCAGGCCTAGCTCCTTACCTGGGCACAGCTGTGTTTGCACATGTCTATCTGGTCACAGTTTTTGGGTCACAACATATTTTCACTTAGCCAAATACAGTACTTCACTTGGCTTTTATAACTCCTTACGAGATACATTTTTGTTGACTGTACCTGCCAAAGCTCAGCAGTTCAGGGTTGTGGATTTCTGACGTAAGTGCACACAAGCAGAAGAGGTTGGTGGTTACGATTGTCCTGGAGTTAATTTGCCTATAAGATGGTGTTGTCCTGTATGTACATAGAGTGCACGTATGACAAGTGTTGTCCCTAGTTGATTCTGCTGGATATGTGAATAATAGAAACCTCCCTCGACTGCTAAGGGCCTGAGGGTTCTTTCTTTGTTCTGCAACACTGAGAACCAGTGATGAGCAAGGGAGGGAGACAGTCCTTGTGCGACAAACACAGCTAAATGTGAAAGTGACACTTCCCACCAGTGTAGTAATGGGGCTAAAACGGGCTCGGATCACTGCAGTGAAAGTAGGATGTTGAGGTTCAGGGGAGGAAGGCCTCGTGGGCGTCAGGACTGGGGCAGGTGCTGGAGGAAGTGGTCGTGATCCGGGCTCTGAAGCACAGGTGGGATGTGGATGGGCCGAAATTGCAGGGATTTCGAAGTGAATGTCACAGACAAAGGCAGGGATGTAAAATGTGCGTGTGCTTGAAAAGGCAGATGGTCCGGTATGGTGGAAACATAGGGTGCACAGAGAGGAAAGAGGAAAATAAAAGGAAGGGTGGGGTCGGATGGGGAAATTTCTAATGTTAGACTCAACAGTATGGATTTCATTCTGTATTGGTGGTGGAGAAATTGCAGTTCCAATCTGGTATGATTGCTACAGTTAGAAATAGAGGTGAGCAGAGGGTACTAAGTAGATGATTAGGAGAGATGTAGAGTAAAGCCGGTTAAGGGATGTGTTAAAGCAATTTCCCAAAAAACACACAATAGAGTTGAGTTAGGGAAGGAGAGGGGAGAAGAGAAAGGCAGGAGAGTTTAGAAATTGGGAGCTAAGTACACTGCGCAGAGCTGCAGGTCTTTGGGGATGGCCCATGCTCAGGGTCTAGGGTCCCTCTTGTCTCCATGGACCTTTGTTTCAGTGTGAGTAATTACTTTTTGCTTTTTAGGAAAAACACACACACACACACACGCCTGCTTTCCCGGGCTCTCGCACAGCACAAGAAAAGCATTATTCCGATACCATTTGAATGGACTTGAGCCGGATGAAAAAGGCACTTGCTATTTCAGTATTGTTTTTTGTTTGTTTGTTTGTAAACTCAACATTTCAACATCCCGGGTTCCTTTTTCCTCCAGCTCCCCTACCTCAGACTGGGACCCACTGTGCTCACTACAGCACAACTTCTCAGTAATGTTAACAGTTTTGGCGTTCAGAAATGAGGACTATGTCCTGTTCCACAGAGGGCAAGAGAGGATTGCTTTTGGAATACTTTAGAAAGAAAAATGTCAATTTAGGACACCGTTCCCATTGTAGCATTCCTTTTCATTGCTGTGAGACTGTGAAATGAGACAAGTTAATTAGAAAGCCAGGTGATGTGCCATGTAAACACTGGGGGACCTATTTTTAGGTAATATTAATCATCTATAGAACAGAATTTATTATGGAATATTAGTATTAAAGATATTACAAGTGATGCTGTGGCTAGAATAAATCGCTCTGTGACTTTTAAACTAGGGTGTTAACATGCTTTCTTTAAGTTGCCTGTCAAAACATTTTCAAACGAGTACTGGATATTACTCATTTTAAAATATCTAATGCTTGGCTCTCTTTCTTACCCTCAGGACAGGGCTGTTCACTCCGGACATGGCGTTTGAAGCAATAGTCAAAAAACAAATTGTGAAGCTGAAAGGGCCTTCCTTGAAGAGTGTAGATCTGGTGATGCAAGAATTAATCAACACCGTCAAGAAGTGCACCAAAAAAGTAAACTAGAATTATTGAACTTCCCAACAACTGCCTGTTTGGTTTACCCGTCTTTCCTACCTTGCTGCATGCCTCCCCCCCTCAACTTTGTTCTAGAAGGTGGTGTGTTTGCTCAAGGGGAGGGGTTGTGAGAAGGACTGAGTGGGACTTGATCTCCTATTAGACAGCATACTGTCTCTATTACTCATTCCAAATACGTTGCTTAAACAGGTCAACATCACTTTAGAAGAATTACATGAATGCCCTAAACTAATTTTCCTTTGGTGCACAGATCAGGGTAATTGTTATGGGGAAGGGAATCATTGATTTTGTGTATATTGTTAAGGAAATTCTCCTAAATTTACGTGAATTCCACTTGAACCTGGACATTCTGGGAGGGAGCAGTGTGGTCTAGTAGTTAAGAGCTCAGCTTCTGAGGTCCAGTGACCTAGGTTCAAATCCTGGCTGTGCTACTCACTTCTGTGTGACCTTGAGCGTCATACTTAATCCTTAAAGTTTTGTAATTTCTCTGTGAAATGGGGATGATGATAGTAATGATAATACTACCTCAGTGTGGATTAAATAAGATGATGCCTGAGAACCACAGGGCCCTTAACACATTGGTTAATGACAGTAGTTACTCTCTCAAAGGCGGCTGATCTATAAATGACCATTACTACCTCGTAACATCTATCAAATCTGGGGGACTTCTCACTGAGGAACTTGGCAGAATTGTGCTGGATTCCATCCATTCCATGGGGACAGGAAAGGGGTACCCTGTACTGGAAGATGCAGGAATAGGTTAAAGATGATGTTTAGGGTGGGTAGACCTAGCCCTATGATTGTTAACACTGGTATATTGATCATTTCTTGAAAGATCAACACTGTCGTGAAGTGCACCAAAAAAGTAGTTTTGTTACCTTCCCTTTTTTTATGGTTACTATGAGTCACCTCTCTGGAAATTCAGTGGGGAGCAAGGGAAGGAATGAGAGACACAGAGAATGTGAATGAATATGAGTTTTGGTCCCCAGTTACTGGCAGAACAACTCAGATGAAGGAGAGATGTAAGTGGTGAAAGAGGAAAGCAGGCTGAAGTCCTAGACATCAGTGGGAAGAGAGCAAAGGTGTTCCGTGGGCAGCGTGAGGTCCAGAAGAGGCTCTGGGGCTGCAGACCTGCTCTAGGCCTCTTCCAGTTCCTCCACCATGTTCCCTCGAGTCCTAATCTCTGTTCTCCAGAACAGGAAAAGCCATAGAAGTGAAGGGGCTGAGGAAAGGGAAAGTGCACATGGGGGAGGAAAAAACAGTCTATACCAGCTCTCTATTTGGGAACCTGAAGCCAGTTGATAAATAATATTCCCTGTCCCATCCTTGCCTGTGCCTCAAAATGCGCCCAGTCTTGTCACCTGTCAATGAAGCTCTCTTCGTTCGCCTCCTCTTCACCGACTTAGGGAATTAACTGATTCTGCCGTCTCCTTCTGCCACCCGGCCTGTCTCCCTCAGCACAGAGGTCTTCAGCCAAAGGCTCCTCCTCGAGTGCCTGCTCCACCAGCTAAGCTGGCCCCTTCCCAAGAGCCCCTTGTGTTGTATCCGTCCTCAGACCTGTTTAGCCAGTTGTAGCTCTTATTTTAACTATGTGGTTTAAGTGGAGAGTTAATAAAGTGATCGGATGCAGGAGAGAACAAGTTCTGTTTCTCTGAAAACTCAGCTTTGGAAAGACTTGATAAAGATTACCTACATAAGCTTTGCCATTGACTGGGTCTAGGCGGGACAGGGCTGAAAGGCGTGGGGGAGTGGTACAAACCTAGATGGGCTCTGCATTCAGCTTCTCCTTCCACTTTGAAGAAAGCAAACTGGAACTTGTAGATGAAGGATGTGGTTTATGGGAGACAGAAGACGCATAGTTCCTCTCAGCAGATCCATATGCTGGGGACGGGCTTTGGCCTTACATCAGAAGGTTGGCACATGTGTGCACATTTATGTTTTGAGTTATAGAAAGTGTTTATGGTATGTATGAATCATTTTTTTTTTATCATTTCCCATTGCATCCAACTTGCTGGAAAATCAGCAGTGGGGCCCGATGGCACAGGATGAGACAGCTTGTCCTGGACACTTGGGCTCTGTCCTTTGCTCTCCACCCTTTGAATGGCCTTTTCCATTATGCTCCCTGGATCAGTGGTGGTTGTATATTTGTACTGTCTTCTCAAAACATTTTACAGTTTGCCTTAAATGAAACCTAGCTTTCTCCCCCAGATGACTGTTTACCCTGCAGCTCTCTTCACTGGAGAGCATTTGTTGGCCCAAACCCAAAGGATCTAGGGCCCAGATCATTCATCATTTGCCTACTCCTTGTGTGGCTTCCAAATACTGTGCCTTAACTTTCCTTTAAAAAGTCTTCCATAAGGTCCTTTGGCCCCTGTTTTCTTCCAGGCTACCTGTTTTCTCCTAGTTTTATTTTCTTTCCTGACCATTGTTATCAGTCTGTGTCTGGTCAGAAGAGAGTTGAAACCACACCATGATTTGAATGGGGAATGCTTACTATAAAACAGTATTAACCACAGCAGGGGATGAGTAATGGGGGACTGGCTAGTGAGAAGTTAAGAGAAGTACTGAATAGAGGAATAGCTAAGAAGCAGGTGCTAAGGGGCTACCCTCTGGGGGTACCTAGGAAGGAAGACCTTGCCCAGGCCTGAGACCAGGGCCACCAGTGTGACTCACTGAATGGTAGAAAAGTTGCTTAGTGTTGTTCCAGCAGAACTTGCTGGAAACTTGCTCTCTGAAGCAAGCCAGGAGGGAAAAGCCATCCATGGAGGTCTCAGGGTCTCAGTGGAGGTGCTCTGCTACCAGACTCTTCTGGGGAGGTGGCGGGGGTGCCAGGGAGCGTGAGCCTGCTGCTCCGTGAGCACACCCAAATTTATTCCCTTCCACAAGGTCTCTCTAGGTCCAGGGCTTGCCTAACAAAGCTTCAAGTTGGGCTGGCAGCAAAGGCAAAACATTTAAAGGGCCCAGAGGTTTTTTTTCACAGAGGGGGCAAGGAGGCTGCATTTGGAGCTGAGAAGCATAAGGCGACAAGCAGTGCTCCTGCCTTTAACTTTCTGGTCCATCACTGCAGTTTCACCTGGATTAACTCTGCCGCCTGTTGAAACTGCAGGGCTGCCAGATGTCCCGTTTGCCTTTGTTTCCCTTTCCACCAGGTTGCTGAAGAGCTTGGAGGAATCGCTCAGCAGGTAGATTAGTGCTGCGGTGCATCCACTGCGTTCAGCGTCTCATTAGGTAGTGACTTCCCGTGTGCGCCACAGTAGCGAGGCTAAACTTTTAGCACTCTCTTTAAGCCACTTCGATCCTCACTCTCACCCTTATTTTCAGTTATGATTTTACAGAGAAAGTAGGGCCCATATATGCAAACATCAGTTTCCTGTCTCATGACCCCCAAACTTACCCGTTTTCCCAGCCCTGCCCCTCCTCTCTGTTGAGGTGGTACCCTGATCAGGGCTGGGCTCCGACCTGTACTCTCACCTCCTTCGGAACTTACTTTTTGATTCTTATATTTCCTGAATCATCACCTTTGGCACATTAAAAAAATGAGCATATAAATATATTTGTGTCTCTCCTAACTTAAAAGCAGTAACAACAATAACAAAAGCCTGCCTGTTGCCCTATTCCTCTCCTTTTCCTCATGGCCAGTCTTCTTGGGGGAAAAAGTAGTTTATGCTTGCTCTCTTTACTCCCTCACCTCCAGCTAATTCCTTAACCCTCTGGAATTTGAATTCCACCCTCCCACCACTCTGCTGAAATAACTGTGGCAGGGTCAGCCAGAGACCCGATTGCCAAATCTAATGGACAACCTCATTCCTGATACTGTATTCCACTCTTTCTGAAGCCGATCCCCCCCCCCACGGGTTTTCTTCCATTTCCTTTGATTTATCCATCTTTGCCTGGAGTCCTGCAGAACTGACTCCTGGTTTTCTTCTCCTGTCACTGTCCTTTCTCCTGGCAGAGCACATCTTCCATAGCCCAGCTGCCACTTAAAATATTCTTGATTCCCAAATCTGTACTTCAGTTTGAGCCTCTTTCCCGAGACTGTCTATTCTACAGTCTACTGCAACTACTCTTTTTTCTTAAGACGCCCAACAGTTGTTTTTTTAAACTAAATCAGCCCACTGGCCTCCTCACTGATCTTTCTACCAGTCTGGCCATCCTCAAACTTATTCTCCCACAGCTGTCCAAGTAGCCTTCTGCAATCTCTTCTCCCTGATGTCTCAGAATCACTCATTGGCTCCTCATATCTTGAGAAAGTTTCTTCATTCACAGTTGTGCGTAGTTTCGCCCTCTGTTCTCTGAGTACTTCTCCACCTACACCCATTGTCACTGTCTGCTCGCTCCAGCCATTCTGATTTACACTCTACAGAAATGTTTTTATGCCCGTAGCATTTGCACATGTGGTTCTCTTTGTTTAGAATGTTTCCTTTCCCCTCCTGTCTTCACCTGCCATCTCCTCTTATTTTTTGAGATCCAGCTTAATCATCGTCTTTTCCCCAAAAACCTTCCTGTGGGGCGTCTGAGTCCTCTCCTGGTCCCCATCCTCACCTGAGTCTCAAGGCTCCCATCCGCACCCGGTGTTTATTTCATCATAGCATTTATGACACTGTGTTGTGACTTATGTCATTTATTTGTTTAGGTGGATGCCTCTTCTTGCTGATTATGAGCACCTTTTATTTTTCTTTTAATTTTTAAATTTTCATTGAATTTATTGGGGTGACATTGGTTAATAAAATGATATAGGTTTCAGGTGTATAATTCTTTAATACGTTATCTGTATATTGTATTATGTGTTCACCACCCCAAGTCAGGTTTCCTTCCATCACCATTTATCCCCTGTACCCTATTCTACCTGCCCCACTCCCTTTCCCTCTGATAATCACCATGCTATTGTCTGTGTCTGTGAGTTGTTTTTTATAAGTGCCTTTTTAAACAGAGCTGCATCTTTTATGCATCTTATCCCTGGCACCTAACACAATGACTAA